ATCTGGCTTTTCCTGACTATCCAGCATCCAGGATCCTGTTCCCCTTGTGGGGTGGGGGTTGCCCACATGAATACATGTCCCCAAGTCAATGTTCAGGGTCAAACTAGTGACTCCTATTCCCCATCTCCCCTTTTGCTCAGAGCCTCGGCCAGGGGACTCTAGTTCTTTTTTTTCAGGGAGAAATGTCTACCCTTCAAGTCCACTCTTCACGTCGGCCTTGGTCTTGTAGCCTTCTGCTGTGTGTGTGGTAGATGACAGCTGCAGCAACAGAAGGACTGTGGTGGTTTGAACGCTAGGCTCAGGGAGGGGCACTATTTGGAGGTGTGGACTTGTTGGAGTAGGTGTGTCACTCCAGTCTTCTAGGGGCTTTCAGATGAAGATGTAGGACTCTCAACTCCAGCTCCATGCCTGCCTGGATGCTGCCACGCTTCTGCCTTGATGATCATGGACTGAACCTCAGAACCTGTAAGCCAGCCCCAAATAAAAGTTGTCCTTATAAGAGTTGCCTTGGTCATGGTGTCTGTTCACAGCAGTAAAACCTTAACCAAGATAGGGGCCTGCTAGCTAGACCTTAGCAGTGGAATATGATTCCATATAGCCTTGGTCACCTGTGCAGGAAGAATGGGGACCTCCTGGCTTGCTGTTGGCCTTAGAGATGCATGAGACAGGACACAGTCCCACCAGTGAAAAGCCTCACAGCCAACTGCAGCCAGCACCCCAGGGAAAACCTTCATTAATAATTCCTGCAGGGCTGTTTCTTGGGTGCTTTTGTTTTGGGACAGGATTTCACTTGGTAGCCATGGCTGAGCTGGAATGGGCTCACAGAGATCCACTTGTTTCTGTGGACTGAAGGGGTAGACACCTTCATGGGCTGTTTCTTATGCTGCTGCTGCAGCAACTGACCAATTCACAGATGTGCTGTGTCTCTTCCTGTAAGCAGCTGAAATATGGGCAGAGGATACAGACTGGGTGGGGTGCTTTGCGTGAGAACAGCCACCATAGGCTTGTATGTTTGGTTGTGAGCCTAGCCTTTAACGGCTGAGCCATCTCTCCAGCCCAAGGCTCATATGTTTAAATACTTGGTTCCCAGCTGGTGGAATTTTGAAGTATTACGAGGGTGTGGTCTTGTTGGAGTTGTCACTCGTGGGCTTTGAACTTTCAAAAGTCCATACCATTCCATGTGCCCTCTGCCTGGTGATTCTTGCCTCAATGTGTAAGCTCTCAGCTACTGCATCAGGGTCATGCCTATGTGCTGCCATGCTCTCTGCCTTGCTGCTCATGGACTCACCTGTCAAACTCTAAGCCTTTCTTCTTCTTTCTTCTATGAGTTACCTTGGCCATGGTGTCTCTTCCCAGCAATAGAAGAGTACCAAGAACACTGGGGTACAGTTGTGTGTTTTTCTACTCAATGATAGTGGAAGAGGCAAGATGGCTTCTTGGAAGAAAGGAGCTTGCCACCAAGCATAAGTTCAGTCCCTGGGACCCCCACAAAGTAAAAGAGAACCAACTCCTGTGGAGCCATCCTCTCCCATGCATGCTCACTGTAATGTGAAGACAGAAGTGCTCTCAGCTTCCAGGACTATGACATCCTTCAGCTCAGCATCTGTCAGCCTCATTCTCTTGCTCCTTCTTAACCCTAACCCATCCCCCCTACGTAACCTAGGGTAGCCTCGAACTTGCAATCCTGTCTCAGTTGAGGGCACTGGGATGACAGGTGTGTGCCACAATGCCCGGCTGTATGTGTTATTTAACAATTAAATGCAGGGCCTCACACACGCTAGGAGAGCACTCTGCATGGAGCTACATGCCGTCTGTCACATTCCTGTTGTACTGTGCACAGGCGGAGGGAGATGACATCATACATCCTGGTCCATCCTCTCAGCCAGTCTCTGCAGAGTCACTCACTAGCCCACTACTCTCCACAGGTTACAGACACGGCTGCACTGTTTTCTACATGGGTGCTGAGATATGGACTCATAGCTGTGTGCCGATTTCCATTTGGTGTCAATGTGCATGGTGTGTGTGCAAATCATGGAAAATATATGGAGGTCAAAGGACAACTTGCAGATGTCAGTTCTGTCTCTCCTTCATGTGGGGCCAGGGGTCAAATTCAAGTTGCCACTTAGCCATCTCACTGGCCCTCTAATTATTTGGTTTCAGCCATCACAATATCTGGCTGCTATGTCTTTATTTTGTTTTGGGTGGCAAGGTTTCTCCTGGCTGTCCTGGAACTCGCTCTGCAGACAAAACTGGCCTTAAACTCAGAGATCCTCCTGCTTCTGCCTCCCCAAGTGCTGGGATAAAGGCCTTGTGCCACCAATACCCAGCTGTTGGCCACTATGTCATCAGTAGGATTTCGGGTAACACGAAGTCTAAGCTCCATGGAGGACGGTTGTGTCTTACAGCTCTGGGAGGCAGGGGCATCTGTGTGACTCATGTGTGACTTGCTGACCTTGCTCCTCACAGCCACAAGATGGCTGTATTAGCCCCTGGCATCCTGTTAGCAGAGGAAGCAGCAAGGAAGGGGAGGGGGCAACAAAGTCTCTCTCTTGTCCCAAGAAACTTCCGACCCCTCAGAGTTTGTTGGCCAGAGCTGGGAGCTGTGCCCAGATTGAAAAACAACCCCAGCCAAAGACACTGCCAAGAACGGTTCGGACCGAATCTTAAATCAACCCCTGGGGCTGGGCACATGGCTGCTGGCAGCATATCAGAGTTCTGGTGGTGCGGAGGGAGCTGTGGCTGCTAGGTCAGCCCCTGGGAACACTAGGAGGGGCGGTAAGCAGGGGCCCAGACTTGGGTGGGAAGGTAGCTTGGCGCCAAGCGACGGTGCCACGAACGCTGGCTTTGGAGTGATAACTGGCTTTCACTTCTCTTGTGTACGGGCATCTTCTGGTCAGATCCCTCTGGGCCAGGTCCCAGGCTGTAGAGACAGGCAGCCAGGTGCTGCCAGCACCAGGGAGCACAGAAAGGATCTCAGCCGTGAGAATGTTCAAGCTGGAACTGACTTCTGGAAAGCAGAGCCAAGGGCGGGCTTCCAAGCTGGCCAGGTCCAGGCGGATTCCCACCTCACACGGCTCCCTGGAGGCCTCCGTGGCCTGACTCACCGCGAGGCCCTGGAAGTCACACTTGGCCTGTCTCTCGGGCCTGCAAACCACCGTCCCCGGAGAGGACAGTTTCCCACAGCCAGAGCCCAGGTGTGGAGGGAGGTTCCTGAGGACCTTGGCCAGGCCTCTAGGAAGAAGCCGGAAACAGCCTAGTATCCCTGGGCTCAAGGCAGTTCAGCGCCCTAAGACTGTAAGATAAAAGGCAGAGAAAGGCCAGGGGCAGGGATGCTACCAACTGGCAAAAGGGCATCTGCCAGACACTGGAGCTGGCTTCTTTATGTGTAATGAGATAAAAACCAGGGGCTCATACATACTAGATTTCTCCTTTGCCACGAAAACCTGCCCTCAGTCTCTCACTGGGGGATTCTAGGCAGGGGCTCTACCCTTGAGCCACACCCATAGAACCTAACTAGAGGATTCTAAGCAGGTTCTCCACCCCTGAGCCACACCTCCAGCCCCTCACTGGGGGTTGTCTAGGCTGGTGCTCCACCCTGAGCCACATCCCCAGCCTCTCACTCGTGGAGCCTAGTCACACTCTCTGCCCCTCACTGAGGAATTCTAGGCAGGTGCTCCACCCCTGAGCCATACCCCCAGCCCCTCACTGGGGCATTCTAGATAAAGGCTCTACCCCTGAGCCATAGCCTGAGCCCCTGAGGGATTCTAGGCGGGGCTCCACCCGAGCCACAACCCCAGCCACCCACTGAAGGATTCTAGGCAGGAGCTGGACCATCCTGAGATATACCCCTAGCTTGGTGAGCTTGCCCTTAACCATATGTGAAAGTACATGTGTGTTTGACACAGTGCACAGATGGAGTGCATGGGTTTGGCATGTCTGTCTTGGCTGTGTGAGCTCAGGAGTTGCTGTGTCCTTGAACTCCAGTATGTCCTAGCACTCAGGTGTGTGTGTGTGTGTGTGTGTGTGTGCCTGTGTGTTATGCGCATGTGCAGTCCACAGGCATGTTTTCCTGTCTCTGAAGGACACAGACGTTCACTGACTGAACGTGCAAGTCAGCTTCTGCTAATTAAAAACAGCTTTTTCATGTTTAAAGTTTACAATACAAAAAATAATTTTCCTTTCTTCAGGGGGGTGGGGTGGGCGCCAAGGAAGGGGCAGGGGCCCCAAGAACATTCCATAAACTGGCTCAGATGGCTCTGCACAATCACCCTGGTTAGATACAGTAACGTCCCCCACCCCCGCCCCACTGCAGGCTCCCTGGCCAGCTCATTGGGGACAAGATGTTGTGAGGTGCTATGTGATCTGGGGGACTTGTGGCTGGCAGTCACGTCACCCTGCCCCTCTGCAGAAGGCAGCTAGAATGTCTTGGTGGGTTCTGTTTGGACGCCCCTGGCAGCCTGGGTCCACCCTTCTAGAGACCAGCTTTTATTCTAGTAGCCACCACTTGAGCCTTACTGGGGAAGACGGCTGAAGTAGCAGGGAAGGGACCTTGGGATGCAGTGGAGGGTGAGAGGGATGCAGTGGAGGGTGAGAGGGCCAGACTTCTTAGAGAACTGTTCTGAGTATCAGTCACTTGTCCCCAACTGTGACCTTGTGCTGAGTTGGGCTGGGGCAAGGATCCTGAAGGTTTCCCTGCCTCCCAGGGGAAGAAGCATCTGAGAGAATGGAGGCAGGTCTGCTGACTGACCAATCATGGCCTCAGAGGCTTATCTGTGGTTAGAGTGTACAACTGAGCAGAGATTGAAGCTTCTGGGGCTGTAGCTACATGGAGAGCCCCCTCATTAGCCTCTCGTGCACACCCTCTTCCAGGCTGCCCAACAAGCCTGGCCCCTCAGCCCAGCTGACGTTCAGCAGGGAGGCTGGAAAAAAAGGGATGGAGAAGGGCCTCCAAAGCCTGAGGTCAGATAGGCTGCAGGCACAGAGCACAGGTCTGCTCCATCCTTCCTCCATACCGCCTTTATTAAATCACAGATAGGACTGACCAGCAGAGGCCGCAGCAAAGGACTGAGGTTAATTACTCATGTGCTGAGCAGCCGTACAACAGTGACATCCATGTCTGTGAGCAGCAAGGGACATTTCAGATCACCGGAGAACACACTCATTTGGAAGACAGTGGAACTGGCTTCCTTAAACAAGAAAAAAATGAAACAAAACAAAGATGAGAGTTCAGGGTTTAAACAGCAGAACAAAGCAGAGCTGCCATCTTGGGGCTTGCGATCACAGCAGCTCCCACCACTCCACCCCGGGGTGGGCCAGACCTGGGAGTACCGCTTTCTGTAGCCACCATGGGAGATGACTGCCCAGCTGGTTCTCCTCTCAGGCCATCTGACACAGGCCACCTCACCTGAGATGGCTTTTGTGTCTTCTCTGCTACTGGTTTCTGAGTTTCCTTGTTGTTTCAAGGCTTTGTGGCCCTGGCTGGCCTAGAACTTGCAATGATTCTCCCTCATTAGCCTCCAGAATGTGGGGACAGGCCATGTCATGCCTCACTTGGCTCGGTCTTCTCATAAAAGTGGGTGACACAGGCGAAGAATGCTGGGTAATTGGATAAGGAGTCTTTGGGGATGCTCCAGAAGCCCACAGGTCAAGGTGGGCCAGGGAGCTTGGCAGTGAAGACATGGCTGCATCTGTCACCTGTCAGGGTGCCTCTGGGACTTGCTCTGGCTCCGACATCTTGAAAGCTGGTTTACAATCTTACTCACTTGATTGTGTGCCTGCATGAGTGTCCCATGGTGCCCACGTGGAGTTCAGAGGGCAATTCTAAGGAGTCTCTTTCTGCCTTGTGGAACCCATGGCAGAAATCCAGGCTAGGATTTTAGACAGAAGATTTTAGTCAGGAGACAGGGACTTGGTGTTTTACGCCCACAAGCTGGTATCTGTCTGGCTAGGGTTGAGGGGAACTGAGGCCTAACCACACAGAACAGTGCAGAGATGTTCACTGGGCAATGGCTGCCATGGTGCCTAAAACACTGGGGCCAGATCTCTCTGCCGACTTGGGGCTGGGAGGTGGGGAACCCCTGGGCCAGGTCTGACACTTGTGGGGAACAGGTCAGGTGGGGATACCAAGCTACCTCCCGTGACCTGAGCGGGGCAGCAGCACGGCAGCACAGGCAATGCCTGCAAAGGACTCGGGGAAGTGCAGGTCTCTCTCCCACTCATCCGTCTCAGTGTTGTACACCTGCACAATGCCTGTGACGTTGTTCAGCCTCCAGTTGTAGCCACCCACGATGTAGATCTTCCTCTCCAGCAGGCAGCAGCCAGCTTCCGACTGACCAGCGCGCATAGGGGTCACACTGGTCCACTGGTCAGTGTCTGGCACGTAGTACTCCACGGCCAGCACATCGAAGCAGCGGTCCACGTGGTCCATGCGGCCACCTAGGGCATAGATGCGGCCGGCAGCGCCCAACATAGCGTGTAGCACGCGGGGCTCACGCATGGGCGCCCTGGGCTCCCAGCGGTCGGCTGCCGGATCATAGCACTGCAATGCCTTCTTGTCCTCGGCTGAGACTCCATAGCCACCTGAGATGTAGAGGCGACCAGCAGCCGCGGCACCCGCATGGCCCCAGGTGCGGCGCTTGAGTGGGCAGGCAAAGTCCCAGCTGTCACGGCGTGGGCAGTAGCGTTCCACAGACGCCAGGCTGCCTGCGCGATTGCGGCCACCCGTGGCATACAGCAGCCCGCCCAGTGCAGTGAGCTGGAACTGCACGCGGCTCTCACGCAGCGCCCGGAGCCGCAGCCAGCGATTGCGCTGCGGATCATAGCGGTAGCAAGCATCCACAGCACCCTCGCCACTGCGGTGCTGCAGGTGCTGGCCGCCTGCCACGTACACGAAGTTATCCAGCACAGCCACGCCCGCGTGGCTGCAGCCCAGCTCCATCTCTGTGAGCTCGCGGAAGTGGCGGGCCCCGGGCTCAGGCAACTGGAACACCTTGCTGCTGACAACTCGGTCGCTGTCGGTATAGGGTGTGCCTCCGAAAGCCACGAGGGACGCTACGTCAGAGCGCACAGCCGTGCGTGGCGACTGCATGTCATGCTGGCGGCAGGGCAGCACGTGGTAGCTGAAGGCCTCCAGTAGGTACTGGCGACACAGGGCATCGTCCAGCATGACGTCGAGTGTCTGCACGCTGTCCACCAGCTCGGCGGGCTGCATGAGCGGGAAGCGCACGTGGCGCAGCACGAGGCTGGCGCGGGCACGGCGGGCCGGATCATGCTGCAGCCAGCGCACAGCAGCGCGGAACAGGTCAATCTCGGCGCAGCTCTGCAGCCGGTTGCTCTGCAGAAAGAAGACAAGGCGCTCGAGTGGCAAGCGCAGAAAGTCCTCCTCTGCTGCGATCTGCAGGAAGTGGCGGAATGTGAAGGCATCTACTGACTCCCTCAGTGACGTCAGGCTGAAGGTGGTAGCCATCTGGCCAATGTGCAGGCACGTCTCTACGCTCATGGCGGCTTTCAGAAAGTCCTCGCACAGTTCCACTACCGGGAGCATCTGCAGAAACACGGCGGCACCTAGCACGTCCTGCACACAGTCTAGATCCAGTGTCACCTCAGCACTGTAGGCGAAATCGATGATGTGACGCAGGCCACGTGCAGACACACCCTGCAGCTGGATGACGGCCTGGCTGGCCTCACGCATGCCACCAGTGAACATGGCCCTAGAAGTGGGAACACACCCATGAGCAGGGCCAGCAGAAAGCCAAAGCTTCCTCTGCCCTCACCCCAGCCTTTCTGACCCTGTGCAGCTGCAGAGGAGCCAGCTATTACAGCTGGCACCTCTGCATGGGCCCCCAGCCCTGAAGGCTAACTGGTAGGTTTCTTGAGGAGGTATCAGTTGGAGATGTGCAATCACCTTGAGCTCCAAGTCAGGACCAGCCTGTGCTCTCCACTACCCAGAGAACCTAGGATCTCTTCACTGCCTGCCTGCAGTCATGACCAACTTCCCCAACCTGGAACCTGTGAAATAAGGATCAAAGGGTCTGCCCTGTTCCCCCTAAGCTGTTGGAAAGGTCCTAGAGGTCACTGCCCACAAGGGGCTGTGTCCATTACTGCTATCTAGAGGGAGAAGCTACAGAGAAGGTACTCATGCCCAGGCATTACCCAGCATCAGCTGAGTCCTCACCTTGTGTGAGACCTTTGTTAAGGGCCTCTGAAGCCATGTGACAGCTGGTGGGGCGGGGGGCGGCAGGGATGCAGACTCATGCATGAGGGCTCTGGAAAGGCTTGGGGTCAAGTCTCAGTTTCCAGCAGGAAGGGGAGAATTGAGTTGTGCTCATAGGGTCTGTAGGGTCCCTTGGTGACATTCTGTAGTATTTTACAGCAGCCCTGACAACTGTGAGCAGGCCTTCCTGCCAGAGAGGGAGGGATACCCCACCCATCATCAATGGTGACACCCACCCTATAGTGGTCTGCTTGATACAACCTAGGCTCAGGTCCCAGCAGGAGTGAGGCCATGGGTGTCATGGAGATGCTGTTGCCTAATGCCATCATTCTGTGGGACAGCATCCTGGGCCTCCCTAGGACCACGAGGAACAGCTCCTAGCCCCAGCCCCTGCCTGTCCCCCAGAATCCCCACCAGCCCTTGGGCACTTCAGTGAGAAAAGAGGCCAGACTAGACGACAGGATGGAGTTTTGCCTTTTAAGGCCTCCTGGGCTACATTGCCAGAGCGGGGGTGCCTTTAAAAGGCATTGCTGGCTGGGCTGCCCACCCGCCCCCAAATCCAGAATAAAAATAGCACCAATGCCCCAGTTGGCTACAGGAGCTCCCCATAACAGCCTTGCTGGGCCCCAGGGAGGGCCGCTGGGCCTAGAGGGGAATATGGCCTGATATGTACACCTAGGTAACAGTGGGCCTGGAAGAGTTTCCCTCTAAGAAGAAAGGTCAGAGCTGAGGAGGAAGGCTCAGCACAGGTCTCCAAGGAGAACCACTCCAGCCAGCTCCCACCCTCGCTGGCAGGGGCATCCCCTGATGAGACAGCTCCACTGGGCCCTTAGTTCTGGCTCAGTCCCAGGACAGGGAAAAGAAGTCAGAACCATGTGTCTGTGAGTGCCTCAGGCATGATACAGGGGAGCCACAGGGGAGCTGAGAGCCGCACGCGCAGACACTGCAGGCCTGAGCGCCATGGCCCCCTTGTGCCTCCAGTCTCTCAGCTGTCTGCTTTAGTGACTTGGCGGGGACACCACAGCAGCAAGGGGCTATTACTTTCTCCTTGCTGGGCACACATGGCGTCAATGCCTGGCACACAGCAGATGCCGAATGAAGGCTTGCTTAGGAAAGGGGAGGCTGAGGCTGGGTTGGTGGACCCTGCCTGAGCCTGCCTGAGCCTGCCTGAGCCTGCATGCATGGAGCCCCAGGTGTACTGCTGCAGACCTGTCTGCCTAGCACTGGGGAGGTGCGAGCAGAGGGTCAGGAGTTCACGCCATCTTGGGCTATACTGTGAGTATGAAGCCAGCCTGGGCTATGTGAGATCAGTCTCAAGAGAGAAAAATGAGTGAGGGGAGGCAAGAAAGAACTCCAAGATGACTCAGTGGGTGGGGGCACCTACTGCCAAGCCTGACTACGTGAGTTCAGTTCCCAGGACCCTCACAGTGGAGGTGAGAACTCAATGCCTATAAGAAGTCCTCTGACTCCATGTGCGCCATGACACACACGTGCCTTCACCCCCCTCTTACTCTCACATGCACACACACACACAAATAAAGTAAATAAAAGTGAAGAGAGAAGCACCCTCTTGGTGGCAGTGTTTACTTAGTGTGCAACAACACTGAAAAGCAAAAGAAACTTAGAGCAGCAGAGGTCAGGTGTGCTGCACCAGAGGATGGAGCAGGGGCATTTTGATTTGTGGCTAATCCAAGCTATGCAGTAAAACCTTGTCATTAAAACAAGGAGGTGGCTACCACATAGGTCCCCAGTGAACATGGCAGAGGTGTCAACTCAAGCACCCAGGGCTAGGCTTACCTAAAATAGTCACTGCAGGCCGCCAAGACCACCTTGTGCGCATGGAAGGCTTCACTGTTGACAGTAAGGACCACATCGAGCAGCTGGCCCTGCGCACGGAGGGCAGCCAGGCCCTGCAGAAGACCAGCGCTGTGGCCAGCTGCAGAGAAGGTGCACTTGAGGGCCCCATTCCTGTCAGCCAAGCTGCAAGGACAGCAGAGGAGAGACATGGCTCAGAGGCCTCCAGGTGGACAAACACACCCTCACACAATGACATTGATGAATTGATGACACTTGGAACTGGAATACTGAGTGGTAGAAACAGCCAGGCTAGACGCCCCCACACAGGGGAGGATGCAGGGTAGCAGGCCGGCAAGTGGAAAGAGAAGAGACCACTAAACACACAAGGGTCTTCTTACAGAGACGCCCTAAAACCAGGCAGAGGCCAAGCCTATGCCACCCAGGAAACATTGCAATCTGTCCATGATAAGAGCTCTACCTGGAAACCCCCAGTGAGGAGCTGGGGGTGTGGCTCAAGGGTGGAGGCCCTGCCTAGAATCCCTGAATGGGGGTCTGGGGGCGTGGCTCAGGGGTGAAGCCCTAGCCTAGACTCCCCCAGTGAGGAGCTAGAGGCGTGGCTCGGGGTAGAGGCAATGCCTAGAATCCCCCGTGAGGGGCTGGGGGTGTGGATCAATGGTGGAGGCCCTGCCTAGAATCCCCCAGGGAGGGGTTGCACACCTTTCATCCCAACACTCTGGAAATGGACACAGGAGTTCAGGCAATCCTTACTAACAATGAGTTTATGAGAGCCTAGGCTGTGTGAGAACTCATTTCATAAAACACAAAGAGTGTGGTGGTGCATGCCTTTAAGCTCAGCACTCGGAAGGCAGAGAGGCAGGTGGATTTCTGTGAGTTAGAGGCTAGCCTGTTGTACACAGAGGAGTCCAGAGCAGTCAGGCTACACAGTGGGACTGTGTAAAACAAAACAAGAAAAGCCAAGTCATACGCATCCTCCCCTTGTGGCCTGTCTCTCAGGACTCCCTGTCCAGTCCCACTAGCCCCTTGTTCCCGTCAGACACCTGTTCCCGAGGCTCTGCACAGAACAGCCCGCTGTCAGAACACAGGAGGGGGCAGTGCTGCTGAGTGCCTCTATCCAGCCTCCCCAACCCAACCCTACAGAACCAGGACACCCCTTTCTGCTGGGCACTCGCTCACCTGTCTCTGTCTCTCAACCCATCTCCATCTCTCGGGACCATCAGCCCTTTTGGGACCTGCCCTTCCATTCTTAGGCCAACAATGTAGGGCACTGGGTTTCTCGAGAAGAGAAGGGAGGGAAGGCTATGGGATGCCTACCCTCCAGTCCCCAAACATGGAGCTATCAGAGGCTAGAGCTGCTCCATCTGCACAGAACCCTGACTCCCACCATTCCTGGCCAGCTGCCCAATTTGGATGTCCTTCTAGAGACTCTCAGGCAGGGAATCTGGCATTGCAGGGCTGGGCACTGGTTGATGAAGTGATGGGTACTCAGACCAAGCATAAGGGTCAGCTTGTGAGGTACAGGCTACCCTGGGTAGGAAGTCATGGTCCTTAGGGTGGCAGGAAAGCAGTCTTGGGGACTGGCCAGCACTGCAGGGTCAGGGAGAGGAATACAGGTAGACCAAAGGCCCTGGCTTGTCTGAGATCTTGCCTGGCCCAGGAGAGGTCAGCACCTACCTCTGTCTTCTGAGCACAATGGCATTCTGGCTAGGCTGCTGTGGCAGTCCGAGGTCCATGCTTCTTAAACCCACAATAGACTTAGGACTCAGAGACACTGGGAGATATTGTTACATCAAGGCCAAGGGCCCAAGGCCACTGTTATGCTCCACAGACAGGGCCCAAAGTGCCACGTGGAACAGAGACATTGCCAGCCGTCTTCCCCAGGGCTGGGTCCTGCCAGCAAGATGTGGGTCAGCAGAGCAGTAGCTGTGTGAGGTCACGGGGGTGAGCCACTGCTCTGATTGACCCGGTGCTGGCTCCTGGGAGGGGACCCATGCTGGCACTCCACACCTAGCCTGAAGCCCTTGGCCCTGTGGGGTGGAAGGCTGCAATTACCTTTGTCCTATTATACATACATGCTGTCAAACTGACTTCAAGATGCTTCCACTGTAAGCTCTGGGATCAGCATTGCTCAGCCACGGCCACAAAAACTGGACAGCAGCTAACTCAGACTTGGTCAAAGTGCTCAGAATAAGTGACTAAGTGTCCATCCCTGCAAAGGATGATGATACCCCACTCTCTAGCTGTAGGGGACACTGTGGGTAGAAGGGGATAGAAAGAATGTAAGCGCTGGAGGATGGGAGGAGGGCTGTGGCTGCTGTCCTCAGCATGTGGCATGGTTTTCCACTCAGGAAGGTCCCTGCACAAGGACAAGAGCAAGCCACCCAGAGTTGATATGGCTCCATGAGCAAAAGCACTTGCCACCAGTTCACAAAGCTGAAAGTCCCTAGGGCCCACATGGAAGGACAGAGACACAGGTTGTCCTATGACTTCTACAAGACACTATACCACATGTATGCACATGCACACACAGGGACAGGATAAGTAAACAGATATAATTAATTTACCCAAAGAGGTGATCAGAGTTTAGGACCCACAAAGGAAATATGTAGTCTGGGCCTGGAGGGCAGAGGCAGCACATGGCCAGGGGCACCTCTGGTCTCTGATCTCCGAAGCTGGTGGGTGGCCTGAGCTGAGCTCTTGTCCCCTAGGCATTAGCAAGTCTCTGCCATGGCTAGTCTGTCCCTCCTGGCTGAGGAGGAGCCTCTGCCATAAACCTACACACCTAGGTTGAGCCACCCTGGGGAATTCTGAGCCACCATAGCTCAGAGACGTGCAGCTTAGCCGGAGCATCGATGGACAAGACAGGAATGGCCTGCCTGGGCTATGACTAAGGCCACTTCTGCCAACACCAGGACCAGAACTGGGTGGAGGGAGGACCCATTACTCAGAACAGTTCTAGACAGTGGGCGGCCACACGGTGGCCCCTGAGCCAGTCTGAGTCTCCAGACAGCCACTCGAGTCACGATGGCCGGCCGTGAGTCATCGGAGCCAGTGCGTCAGCAACCCCGGAACCGGACAGTCTCCAGAGGCCACTCACCACCCACCCTGGCTGGACCCTCAGCCTGGATTTGGCCTTGGAGTAGCCTCACATTCCATCTCAGGCCAGACCCAGGCCCAGCCATCCTTCCATTCTCCCTCCATGATTCCCCCTGTACTCCCCAAGTTACCCAGGCAGGGTCCAGGTCTCTGCTGGACACAGGCATATACCAGGCCGTCGCAGTGTGTAAAGCCCTGGGTGGGGGCATGGCCCTGATGGGACCACCTGTTTGTCCCCAGGTGTGAGGACTGCTACTTGAGTTCCCAGCCCCCACCCACAAGGGCTCTTGCCTCCAATCCTGTTCTAGGGACACCGTGCCAAATCAGGCAACTAGAGAAAGGGCCCACAAGCCCGGCCACACCAGCTGTGGCAGGCCACCCTGGTGACTAGAGCCTCACGGAGCACTGGGAGCTAGCAGCTGGCAGGGGACATGGCTCTGGCCCCACCCACCCACTGGCCTTGTCCTCAAGGCCAGCTTTGGCTTTCCAAGCCCCAGAACCATTCTCTCAGAACGTCGAAAAAACAGGCAAGAACAAGAAGGAATTTCATGGAAACATTTCTTTGGGGTTTAGTAAAATCCGTTCCCACCCCCACGCAGAGCGCAGCTCTCCGCCTCGCACACCCTGTTCTGACGCCGGTCCCTGCTCCCCCAGCCCAGCCACTTCTACTTTCAAAGCCAATTTCACTTTTATTGTCCATGTGGTTCGCTGAAGCACGGCACAGCTGGCTGGCTCACACCCTGGCTGCACTGCTGCCCCACCCTTGGTCCCTCAAACATGCAGGTGGGGGACAAAGCTTCAGGGAACAGTACAGTACCAGGCTGGTCACCTCAGATCAGCAACAGGACCTTGGAACATCTCCAAGACCATTCCCAGAGAACCTGGATGGGCAGGGATCATACAAAGACCTGGGTGGCAGGACAGGAGAGTATCAATAGATGTGGGTGTCAAAGACCTTGAATGAGGGGAACTCAGGCTGGAGCATGGTGGCCCAGGACCTCATCTCAGGGCCCTCAGCCATGCTAGGACCACCTCCCTGACGATCCTCAGATCTTTCCTCAGGACCCTGCAGCTCCCCCAGGAGCTAGCAAATGTCTTTCTTTTAAAATGGGGAAACTGAGGCCCAGGGCCCTCTCCTAGCTTTAAGAATGTCATCTTCCTGTCCATACAGCATTCTGTTTCCAGCAACATCCCAGTGTCTCTGGCCCCAACTACCAAGGCTGAGGGTGTAGAGCTCTGGGGTCCAGCACACCCACCCCTGTCTTGTTGCCATGGTTACCCAATGTTTCCCAGTTCTGGGCACAGCACTCCAGCTACAGGATCAACTCACTGTGCTCTGGCACTTTACACCAGCCAGAGATGTGCACGCCAGCAGCCCCCATGCTCACTCACGTCAGCAAACCCTCCCCTGGGATGCTCCGTGGCTCCTGGCCCAGAGCCTGTTCTACAGTGGCAGCCCTCTCTTTTGGGGTTCATCTCTGGTGTCAGGGGGAACAACAAGGTACCTGCTATAAGCTTGCTCCAGGCTGGCCTGTGGCAAAAGAAAGCCAAAATTTGGGAGGGGCAAGCAGAAGCCCAGAGGCCCCCAAAGCACTGACAGCAAGGGAGAAGCCATGAGACACACATTGCTGGAGGTGGGCCACAGGTCTGAGGCAGAGTGCTAGCCTAGGATGAGCCAGGCCTCGGGGGTCCAATCTTAGCCACTTAAAAGACTAGGCTGGACTCTCCCTGCTGCCATGCTCAGCAAGCATCTTCTCCACTGAGGCACTGTTTCTGGGCTACAACTGAAGACATGCTGAGGGGCAGTGGGACAGTGGAGTTGGGGGAGAAAGAGGCTGCTGTGTCACACTGGACCAGGAGGCACTTCCTTCAAAGAACCAGCACCAGATCCCCCAAGGACTCCTGGGAGGTGAGGGATGTTGTTCCCAAGTGCAGATCAAAGGTGAGCCCAGCAGCCCTGCCCATTGTCTCCCTGGAAAATGGGGAAAGTAGGGGACAGTTGGAAAGGACTAGTTTGCAAGATGGGTTCCAAGAATGGAGTGCTAGAGAGCTAGGAAGCAGGCTGCTCT